GAATTCGGATCACGTGTTGCCAGCCTTGGCTTTGAACAGTATTATAGGGTTACAAGAGGGAAGGCGGCTTAGTTTAAACTTTAAAGGAATAAAGTCAAGATGATACATTGGGGAAGAGGCAAGAGAACTTCATTCATTGAAGTAATATTGAGCTGTCTACCACAATAAGGACGAACGAAGTGGAGTGTGGTGCCCAATTAAGCTTTATTTACGGCCGTTTTAAACAGCCGTTATGACTTTTGACAAAATAACGAGAATCGTGAGCCTTCCTCATGGTCTCTCATCAACTTGATATTCTGCAGTGAAATGGTCATTTAGTTCAGTTGCACTTCAAGGTAATCTTTCTCCAGCCCCATGAGAATGGAAACTTGGAGAAAAGGCCCCATCTAAAATAAAGGCATTACTCCGGTAAAGAACGGCCGTCACAGACGATACTTGTCGGGAAATAATGAACAAATGCGAACACCATACATAGCTCTACGTTTATGGTAACTTACGTTTGCGACAATTAACAAAATATAATTTTGCTATTTTAAACTGTTGTATGTGCCACTTAGCAAATATTAGCTCACCTCACGTAATTCACTAAAAACCATTCAATGCTGGTCAGAACAACGATTTGTTTGGTTCGATAAGTAATAACCCCTGGATTGCGAAGCAGTTTTTATTGCGGTATTAATTTGTGCAGTTTTGGTAACAAATGGACCGTTTCTACTGTAGGCCGGTGACTTAAGTACTGTGTACGTTATCGACATTAACTGTTGAATATTCAAACATGAAGCTGCTGTAAAGTTACAATGCCTAAATAAAGTTGCTGGGATTCCTCCTCTCTCGCAACCAATATTACTGATAACCACTCTGAACAATTTCTCTCGGTAATGGACAGCACCTTTTTGCGGCGGTTCGTCAGTTACTGGAGGCGAAATTCGAATGAGGTTCCAGACATAGAGAGACGCTGCGTCCATCCATTTCGTAACTCAAATGAATTTCGCCTCTAGTAATTGTCGAACCGCCATAATAAGGTACCATCCATTACCGAGTGAAAGTTCTCAGGGTTTTTTAAAATGCTTATAAGTTCTTTCAAACAGGGCACACCTGCTGTGGTTGAGGGGTGAGAAAGAACTTGTTATATACTTTTTGGACAAATTTGAATAAATTAATGATTTTCAAGGATTGTTTTGAAATTAGTCTGATGTTTACTCAATTATTTTTATTAATTTATGAAGGCGGTTTGGTGGGCTTTAAGAATTTTTTATAAAAGCTACTGCATTCAACATTTAGGTAAGCTGCAGCTTCTTACATAATCAAAGTCATAAGCAGAAGAATAATAGATGAAATCTAACATTCGTGTCACTAATTCTCATGTTAAAATTTGTTTTAGGTAGAAACTAACTGTTCTTCGGCGACCAGCTTCTGTCTGATTGGAGGGGTTGAAACATTCCTTCTTCAAAAAAGACTATGGAATATTTCTTGGTTTATGAATTCGCTACGGTAGATTGTTTCCACCCTAAGAAAAAAGCACCGCAATATAGCGATACGATAATGTATCATATGATCCGATTATACCTAGTTTTCCGTCAGATCAGAACCGGTTCAATTGTTGACAAATGCCAACTTGTCAAAATGTTACAGCGGCTCTGGCAAGTGAGTGGAGGAGACTGGAGAGGAACGCGACTTGAGGTCTGTTGAGGAGAGTTCATCGCAACTCCCAAGTAATGCTTTCGAAACTTCTTGTATAAGCTTATGATGATTATTTCATTAATTTAGTTAGAAAGGACGGGTGAAAGTAGATGTAGGAAAAAACAACAACAAATTGTATTGAAGTTTTTGGGAATTGAGAATAATGTACCTACTCAAACGGATCAGAGATTTTCTAGTACCTAGGTAGTAGTAGGGCACTAGGAGGCAACAACGTGTCAGTATTAACCTTAATTGCGTAGGGTAGGCGGGAAAAGGTCCTTTATTTCTAAAAACCTTTGTAAAAAAACAAAAACAACAAATCTCACAGCTTTGTTTGACATGATCAGGATGGATTTCTAATATTGAAGGTTCATATATTATTCCTGATACACCTACACCAGTTTTTCGATACATCATTATTTGAGGCAAATAAATGAACTTCTTATAGGCTTAAAACACGTATGGCCTAGTCTGGAAAAGTCCTATTTTTGTCTGAAATATCGCGGCTCTAATATCATATAATTTCAGTAGGTATGAAATCTCGCGGCTCGAATGTCATAAATTTTTGTTTGATTAAAAAAATCGCGGTTTGCACTTTGCAAACATGTCATTTCATAAAATTTTTACATAGCTTGGAACGATCTGTGTGTGTCCAATTCAAGTTGTGACGGAATTAGTTTTCATGTGTCTAAATCCATTCCTCAACTTAATCATCTATTAATTTATTTACCACTTGAAATCAGCAAATACAAGTATACTTAAAGGATTCCTAATATATTCACAGATGTATTTGAAAGTCTCAAACCATAATATTCTTCCTATACAAACAGTTATTCACTATTTGGTAGGGCAAGGTCAACTGTCAAATTTGACACATTTTTCGATGATCTCACTGGGTAGCGTGCATTGACTTTCTTTGGATCTCAATATTTTCCCGCTAGATGGCCAAGACCTTTTGTTTTGGCATTAGTTCGACGCGCAAATGTATGACGTCACCATTTCAACCATCAACGAACGCATGGAACTAAAACAAAGCTTAATATAAAGGAAAAACTAGAGAGGTGACGGAATTACCCATGATGTTGGAATATACCGCGTTTACCCGACTCAAAAACAAACTAGAGGGAGAGTCTAAAAAACTCTCTGCTTTGCCACTATGCTTAGTGTTGGATGATTCTGTGATTGCTGAATTGCCATATATCAAACTCATAATCAAAGAATAAAAGCTGTATTACAGTGTCTCCAGCTGTATTACAGTGTTGTTCGACCAACTGAACACGAGTGCCAGGGGGCAGAGGGTGGAAGCAGCGTCAGTTGCAATCTTGCATCACCAATATATGGGATTTTAAGCCAAAAGCATTGCCAACCATTTTCAAGATGTGTTGCCGGGTAATTTTTAATGAAGAGCCATTTACGCTGAGTAATGAAAAACTATTTACAGGCCACAAACTTATTTACAATGCACGTGTTACCCCAAATTACCAATTTTACCCTAAAAACAGTCTGATTGTACAGCAAGTGTCAACTGAACCTGTGATAATGCAGTCTGACCACTCTAATGTGACCGCAACTATGCAATCGTAAACTTGTTGTTTACATTTTTTGGCAGGAACTCATCGCAACTGATTTCCGGACAAGCTTCACTGCATCCAGATCCATCCAACGTACCAGAAACCTTACTTTTTTCTAAATAATTGGCCAAACACTGACAAATATATTAAATGCAATCTAAATGTGTTGGCAAGATCTTCTGAAGGCGTAAATTTTGCTACTGAAGCTTTGCCAATGCCAAAGATCTTGCAATAGGTATTCATCCACTCTCTGCACAGTGGCATGTGTGGAGTGTTTTGTGCATACTTCATACTAGTGCATAGTGCTTATGAGCTCAACTTCTGATATCTATTGTTTAAAAAATGCCAAACAAGATCAGGATTGGAATTTTCTTAATTGTTTTTGTAATGTTGAGGCTCCCAACACGACAAATTTTTAATACATTTGGGATCTTGCGGCCCAATTGAGCACTTTTGTTAACAATTGGATTAGATAGGTAATTCATGTGTCGGAAATATTGCAGTCCCAACTCCAAGAAATGGCTGGAAAGTTCTAGTCGCTGCCCTAATGGTATAAGTTTTCCATGCTTGCGTCCTCTGCTAGCCCTGACGCAGTGACACATTTAGACTTATTTCTTAGATGTGTGAAAGGTAAATTATTACTTGACATATGATTTATTCACTTTAATGTGCAATTGTTCTGTCCAAGGACTTTATTCTTGTGTGATAATCATAATGATTTACTGTTGTACGAGAATAAGTGTAAATAAAACCTCGCAACTATAGCTGACTACCCAGTCACAACATTGCAATGAAAAAAGTTACTGCTTGTTTAGGAGTGCATTAGGTGTTATTTTGGTTATTTATCAATGCATATAGGTCGTTCGAAGTAACAATGCGTGGCACTCAGCAGACGACTGCAACGCCATGCTACCGAAAGATAATAACATGGCAAAGGAGATTCCTTGTTACAGTCACGAAACAAAAATATGCCTACGCATTCCTTAGTCGTATAAAATATCACAGTAACAAGATTCCATATTTCAGTCAATAAAATAAATTCAATCATATTGAGTAACTAATCTAACAAAACAACATCATCAACATAACATGTGGTCAAAAAGTTTATATACTCCTAAAAATAAAAAAATATCACATAATATGCATCCCGTCACGGCTAGCCATGGGCCTATTTCTTTAATGCCGACACTTCTATTCTATTCTAATTGTAATCCAGACCTACAAAATTTGACTGCAAAGACACCAACCAAAAAGGTGATCAATCTGGTCAGTTTATTTATGTGAGCACTGTAGGTTTAAATACAAGCAGTCTAGCAGGTATTTGCACCAACTTTGTGGTACAATTGTGGTGGAGTCAAATAAATATTAAAGTGGCTCTGATCACCTGGCTTATTGCTGAGGATCAATATGGTCTTTAAAATATTGTGTTTTGTCATTGGCATTTAGATGAGGTTTATATAGTATATATATGGGTAAGTATTAGGCCTAATTAAGGCTTCTATTATTATAAAAATAATATTTTATTTGCATTATACTCCTGGAATAACAACCTATCCATGATACCTAATTGGTCTTAGGTCCACTGACTTTACTCAACTTTTAGGACTCAAAAAGGAATCTAAAAAAAGTCTTGGCTTTACCACTATGAATTTTTATGGGTACGTATTGAGGTCATGTAAAGCCAGTTAAAACCGCTGCTGGATAGTTTTTTTTTGCGATTCTGGAGAGTTTACTATGAATTTGTAATTGGTATGTTTCATTACACATATTTCACAGCCTCACAGATATATACTTATTAGTATTAAAATACTTCAAAATGAAGACAGAAAAAGACATTGAGAAGTTGTTTGAGACTCACACTGTTGAAGAAGTGGCTATTGAGTTGAAAAAAATACAAAATACAATTGAAAGAAAAAAAGAAGATCTCCGAGTAATGGTTGGGTGAGTAGATACAACTATTTTATCATATTTTTTCAACCCCAAAATTTTTCATTTTCTAGTAATATATATTCAGAATTTATTCATATTTTTTCTATGGTTTGTCATGATGTCATCATTTCCTTGAAGTGGATTGGATCTTTTTGTATATAGTAACTATATTTGTTTTGAAAATGTAATCATAAAATGATGTAAACTTGTAATGATGATGAAAATCAAATTGAATCTTGTTAAACTTTTTCTGCTGAAGCTAGTAAATTTTTCTATTTCGTCACTTACGTTATCTGTTTATAATGTTTGCATCATTGCCATCATTATGTTTAGTGCATGAAAAGTTCATCTCAAAGAAACTGAAAATTTTTAGTTGCAGTGAACATGATGGTAATGCAAAATTTTCTGTGAATATGAGTCTAGTATGGAGGGTATTATTTATATTTTAATTTCCATACAATTTCCTAATTATCTGTTGTTTTATTTTATCATCATTATATTTGCAAAAAAATATTTTATTCCATGTACAAGTATATTTGCACTGCTATTGCACTGTATGAAGCTAAAGCATTTATGGCTGCAAGTCATTATTGGATGCTTAGAACTGGTATTATGCACCAGTATATATGTAACTTTCTCAATGAACAACTCCATTGTATTTTCACTCAACACTCCTGGTAGTATACAATGGCCTTAAATATTGTATTATATCACAAATTTACTGGCTTATATTACCATTTGTACATGCAATGCAATATATATATAATTGTTTATACTCACTTTAGAACATTGATAATACTTGGTGGCATTTGCTAAATTTCTTTTGGATGTCTCATGGGTGTAGATTATTGAGGTAATTTTATTTTCATTGAAAATAATTTGATACCCATAATATAATTTGAATAAAATTGATGTTCTGTTCTCTGTAATCATTTTGTTTTGTTCTTAATGTGTTCATCAAAATTTAACAATGCACATTATTTATCTGTCCAGGGAAAGGTACCGTGACTTGATAGAAGCTGCAGACACCATACAGTGCATGGAGAGCAGCGCTGCAGGCGTGTGCACGGAAGTGGCCGCTGTACAGAGGCTTTGCTCCAGCCTGCAGCACAGAGGGCTTATTGGATTCAAAACAACACCTGCCATTGATGCATTGTAAGAAACTGTAAAGTTTGCAAAAAAAATTCATGATTCATGTGGATTTAATGGAAATTAATGCTACCTAGTTATCAAAATTAAGCATGAATTTATCTTTTTAATTTGAACCTTGTTTGTGAACTTTAGGTTTATCATTTGTTCATTTTTTAGTGAGTAGCAACTGTTTACATTTTGTTTAGGCAGCATCTAAATTAGGACTGAATTTATTGTTTACTGCATATGTACCAAAGCTAAATAACTTTTATGCAATATATACCTATAGGTACCTATTTTTTACTTGGTCTTTTCTTGCAGTGGCGATGGAGCAAGTAGTTCACTATTGAGCATTGGTGCTCAAATAAAGGTGGTGGTGATGGCGAGCAGTAGAGTATGGGCCTTGCTGGAGACAGAGCAGTTGCTTCCTGCCACCCTTGTTTACCTCTTCACTCAGCATACACACACCGCCCTCATACTCTCTCAGGCAACATACCAGGTGCTCCTTTTGACTAAGCTATTCAGTTTTGGACCAAAAGGCATTCAATTTATTTGCTTAATTGTGGAATATTTAATTGCTATTATTAGTTTGGTTAGATCTATTTTCAACAAAACAAATGCTTGTATTCCTCCTGTAATGTTCATTTTTGGCATACTCGTTATGTTTTCTGGGCACAGGGTCAGAAATGTGTGTCATTTTGATCCAAAGACTACAGGAGGGTTAATAAAGGATGGAATAATTTCCTCAATAGTATCACTCATTGGTCATTATTGTCTAACCTTACAGCAATGCTCTGAGTGTATCATCAATGCTTGCATTCATTTTACAATGGCAAAATCTTTCTTTTGAAAAATAATGCGATTTTCAAATGGCAATCAGCAAAAGCTTTAGATAATAAACAAGAGGTTGCTGCTCCTGATGCATCAGGTGGACCTGGATGAGCAGTTCCCGGTACTAGCCAGGCAGTGGGCGAGCGTGCAGCTGCTGCCTGACATTATCAAGCGTCTCTGTCACCACACCATCACCAGCTCCTCCAGTTCAACTCAGGTCAACTTTGTTTCATATTATCTATTCATTCATTGTCAATTTATCTAGTGTACATACGTTAACTAATTTTTCTTCCTATAATTATGTACAAGTAAAGTCCATTTTTTCAGCAAAATTTGCTTCGATTCAAAAAGTTTTAAGTTTGATGTATTTTAATCTCCTGAAAATTGTTATCACCTGAAGAATGTTTATTGACGAGCAGAGTGTGTGCCAAGCCGTGGTGTCACTGCAGCTGCTGCAGGGAGAAAGTCTGAGTGCCACTCTGCAGGCTGTGCTGCAGCTGCTGCAGGACGTCCTCCTAGGCTCCCTCACCTCCTACACGCCGCAACAGGTGAACAGATTGCCAGTTGGGCCTGCGTATTTGATGAGATTCTTGTGGTGAATTTTCATGACACTGTTTAAAATAGCTGAACTTTATTGGAAGTTTCTATACGAATTAATTATTTGTTATGTGTTACTTTACTTGGCAGAGAACTAGTAACTATTTGGCTGTCTTTTGCTACTTCATTAAACTATCGATCTGCGAATTTGATAAGTTATTGCTACAAGTTTTTTCCTAAGAAAATTCATTGTTATTGAAAACTGCCTTGTGACTAATATTCATTTAGGAAGTAGTTAGATGCCAGTCATAATCTCTTAACAGCCATTTTGTAAATTAAAATAACAGAAGTTGAGAGAATGCTAGTTGCTGATCTCTTTTATTCAGCTTTTTAAAATATTATCACGAACAAACATTCTAATGATATTTTTATCATTGAAACATGGTACATGGAGAAATGCTAGTACATCGTATGAATGCTGCCCACAAATCTAAGTAGATTTACTGGTTGTTTTCTTGCATATAATCTGATGACGAGTTGTGTTGCAGACGGCACGATCCTTGGTTACCTGCTTCGCGTCGCAGCTCATCCGCGCCCTGACTGTCCTGCACGCTGCTTTCCACGCCGGTACATATACATTATATATATAAGCTTTCTATTACTTTGCATTCTTTTATGAAACTTTCATGGTTTGCATGATTAGATATACTGGCCAAAGTTTAGCTAGAAAGCAAGGCATCAGGCATCGTAAGTTTGTGTTGTGTCCACATCAAGATTTTGAAATTGACAGCATTAAGATATTGGATTATTTGATGTTTTTTGGTTGACCATCAGAGTGTTGTATTGGACTTATGAAGCCCAGAATCAATTTCCAATAGTGATGTTTCTAAAACGTTGCTGTCTTCACTATTCCGCAATACGTACGTTTCATTTCTCCATTTATCACGTTGACTCCGATTGCTTTATCTTGTACTATTATTTCATTTTTAGTACTGTTTTTAAACAGTTTTGCCAGACGGTCATTTTTTCCGGACAAATTCCGTGATTTAGTTTTTCTCAATTGCGTTGGCCGGCTAAAATTTATGGTAGGGGTACTTCCTAATTAAACTTTAAATACTGAAAAAAGAAAATAAATATAGTTTTTATAGCAGAAGCTACAAATAAACTAGTTTATATTGAGTTATCGGCCTTTTTTTGGCCTTTTTTGTTCTCGGATTTGGCCGATTTTAGGCAACCTTAATTATGTATCACTACGACCTGGAGAAATACATTTTGTGGTACGCATATGTACCACTTCGTAGTCAACGTGTTAATACATCCATGTAAATTAACTGACTACCGAAATACTGAAATACATGCTTGTTTTTTATTAACGACTTCATTGTAGCCTTTGGCCATAATCTAAATGTTGAAATCACCATCTGAAAATGTTGAATAAAATATATCTTCATAGATGGTGGGGCGATGAGCGCAGTGGAGCAGATGGTGGAGAACGTGACGAGCGCTGCTAGCGTGTCGCCCGTCTCGTACTTTGACGAGCCCAAGCGTCTCGTGGACAGCATCCCTCTTGCCGTCCGCTCCTACAGGTCTGTCAGCCACCAGCCTCACGTCCGCTGCTGGACCACACTTATGCTGGGCAATACGGGCCTGGAATTATGGCTTTTTTGATGTGTATTACATTGATTGTATAGACGTAAGGATGATGCTGACACTCGTTTCAAAAATATTTTCTAGATGGAGTTCTTTAAAGACTTTTTTGTAACCCCTTCCCAAAGCCATTCAATTTAGCTATTTTTAAAATAGGTACTCGTTTATTTTGAGTTGATCTTTTCCTGTTAGTTCTTCTATGATAATGTGCTTTAAAGTATTATCTTGCTCTAAGATGTGTGCATAAAGCGAATAGCATAAGGAAGTTAAACTGTTTTCACATTTTTTCTGTATTAACTCCTTCATACACTGATCAAATGTTAATAAAGTGAAAAAAACAACCGAGGCCTATGTAAAAACTATTAATTTCTGCATGCACAAATGTATAAGTTATCGACCACACAAATGGCGTTCACAGGCCGCGCGTGAGCTCAGGAGGGTCCCGTCTGGGTGAAGGCGAGCTCAGCGACAGCGTCGTGTCGTGGCTGCGCTCTGTCACGGAGGTCGCCACGGTTCATCTCACCTCCATACTCGGTATACATCACTTCTGTTGGCTGCCTCCTCCGATTTCCTATCATACTTTACGATTGATTTTAGCTGTTTCCTTTTATCATGGTTTGATCTATCGTGCCCTATCATGATGACTGCGAGCCTTCGCTACATTTTCCTTAGAATTGCTGAGCTATAGTGGAAGCAGATCAAAATCATCAACATTTACCTTATGGTAATTTGTTCACGACGAGTACCGCAATAACACAATAGACTCGAGATTCAGAAGAAAGGTGATTATTAAATTAGAACAAATGTAAGTTTCAATAAGTGTGATAATTGTTCACCCGCAGGCTACTGCCCTTCGGTGCAGTCCGTGTGCACCGTGCAGGCCGGCGTGCTGCAGATGCTTCAGAAACTTCCTCACACGTCCTGGTCTCAGGTCAGATGCTGGACTTTAGTTCAACTATGAAGATTTAATTATAAAGTTTTGCTCCTGCACCTAAATGTCCTGGTCTCAGGTCAGACGTTGGCCTTTAGTTCAACTGTGAAGATTGAACTCTAAAGTTTTCGCTCCTGCATCTAAATCTGAATAAACAGTCTGAATTCGAATGAACTGATATGCTGCTAGCCAGCAAAAAGAGAGTTAGGATTGCATAGTCTTGGCGTTTGCTTGTTCTAGATCTTTTCATTGGAATACTGAAAATTTTGCATCCATGTCTCGCTTAGCGGTAATTGACCATTGTGGGGCTCAAATCTTTCCGTTTCTAAATAAAAGTGAAGTTGACGTAATTTGGATGATGCTATCATTTTCTAATTCTTAGCTCCTGCATTTGCATTTGAATACTGAAAACTATATGTTCATGCCATGAGCAATAACGTAAGGAAATAACGTTGGCAAGCTTTTTTTGTAATGATGATGTAATTTTCAAGCGTAAGTTGAAGAAAAAATCTTTAGAACTCATTTTGGCAGCTTTGTTACCTAAACCTGAGGTTGCATGTTAATCTAATTGCATGCAACGTGTCATCTTTCCTGTTACTACCAGTGAAAGTAATTTCATCTTACCTGTTCCTCATATTGGCTACTTAATAGTTTCAGAACAAGTGAATTATTGTAATATCAATGTCCGTTAACACATTTTTTCTTACTTATTATTATTATTAATATTATTATCATTATTATTATTAGCTCAGAAAATGTAGTTAAAAAGATCAACGCTTGAACTCCTCTTGTCTGCATGATTGTTCGGAACAAAGTGGAAAGTTTCATTTTTAAAAATTCTCGAGAAAACTGTCAATCAGCGTAAGAAAGATTGCCACGATGTTTGCAATACTATTTGCTATTGAACTACTTAAGCCAAGGTATTGAACTATTTAAAAAATCTCATTGACTAATTACATATTTGATGGCCTGGACATCAGGGCAGAACCGGAGTCTGCTTAGGTTTCCTGATCGCCATTGCTTCCAAGTGTCGCGAGGAGGCTTGGTTTGAGCCCTGCTCTCCGCGTGATTAAAGCAGAATGTACATACTTACTATATTGCACATATATCAATGAAGAGTAATTTGTGGTTAAGTTATATTTATTCTCTAAACTATATACCTACTTTGTTTCACCCTATAAGATGCTAGCCAATAGCTTATCAGATGCTATGTTGTGATGGCCTCAACAATTGTGCTTGGTGAAGGTGCTATGTTGTGCTGGCCACAACACTTGTGCTGGGTGTAGGTGCTAAGTTTTGCTGGGTGTTACAGGTGACGGAGGCGCTGGGTGTGGGCAGGTGGTGCGTATGGCGGCAGGTGGTGCGAGGCTGTGTGCTGGCGAGGGCACAGCAGCTGGTCAGGCTGCAGCTGGCTAGAGCAACTCAACAGGCGCTCGACGACGTCACTCAACTCGTCCACGCCATCTGCACCAATGACAAGTAAAATAATCAATGAATTTTCTGATTTGCATTAGGTTTTCATGCATATCATGTCAGCTACTGTTGACTAATGTTGCCATGCATTATTGATTTAGGTTTAATGTTTAAGGAAGACGGGTTCTACATCACTTGTTCTGGATGAATGAGAAAACATTCCATTATCTCTCATAGACAACTCTTCCACGACCTTCTTCGGACCAGGCGATCCATAGCGAGCAGGTCCCTTGCCGGGACCACTACCCTATCATCAAGGCAAGCATCCGCCATATCTGGAAGGAACAGTGGCTGAACGTGAGAGAGAACAAACTGAGAACAATTAAGGACTGTGTACGAGCCTGGAGTTCATCATACCAGAAATCCCGGAAGATGGAGGTAGCGCTGTGCAGACTAAGGATCGGCCACACGCGCCTCACTCACAGCTACCTGATCGAACGCCGTCCAATGCCGTATTGCAATGATTGTTTGGTACCCCTGACGGTCTTGCATGTTATGGCGGAATGCCCGAGCCACAGTGATACTCGGCAAGACTACTACCCCAACACCACTGCTCTCAGCCCAAATGAAATGCTGTCTAGGATGCTGAGAGAAGTTCCTCGAAGCAACTTTAGAACTGACAACCTCAGACGATATATAATCGAGTGTAACCTGCTGCCGGATATCTAGCACGGCACCTTGACATAGGTCAGAAAATACCCACACTTGAGATGAAGCGACAGAAGACGGATCGAACCTGCGCCTTAGAAATAGATAAGCATACACTCAAGACCAGATGGATCAGGCTGTGAGCCTAAAACTAACGAAGAAACCTGAACCTGCGAAACCGAAAACTGCACCTTCGGCGCGAAATAGACGAAGTTGATCTGAAGTGCTAGAAATCTCCCCCCTACTACTACTACTACTCTTCCACGACCTGCTTCATTTTATCGTACAAGAATTTACCTTTTTTATGAAATTTTACCTTTAAAAAACTCCACAAAATTTACACTGAAAACTATTATACTGAATAAATTGAATGTATACAATTATCATCAATACCATCGCCGCATTGTAAACGGGAATCTTCTAATAATACAAGCATTGGCAATAATCTTGCAGAGTGCAGACTGTGTGCGTCACTATAACGCAGTGGTAGCGGCACTGAGATGAGAGGAGCTAGTCATGGGTTCGAGCCTTGGCGAGCTTAGTTCATTTCTCTTAGTTCATTTGGAGCCTTAGCAAGCTTAGTGTCGCTGGTAGACGGCGCTTGGTAGCTGTTGGAGGTGGTGCTTGCAGCATAGTCTTAGTTTGGTGTCCCTAAATGAACTAATCGCGTGTACACGCATCTCGGATGCCCGTGCTTGCTGGCATCACAGAACAATTTTCTGCGCGAGGCGAAGCGCATTGACAAATACATTCATGACACTCAGCCTAAATTCCTTGATTTTATTATATTGAATTTAAAATCTGGATTAAGAGTGCGTTTTAGCTCACAAGTGGGTGCGATGCAACCTCTACAGTATATTGAGTGAGAGCTCTTAACAACGTCGAGGTTTTAATATTGTGGGTTAAAAGCCGCGCAACATTTGCTTAGGAGTGTCACCCGAGATGACCAGCGCTGTGGTTCATCACAGTTCGTTTGAGAAAGAATTAATGTCAGCCATTCATACCTTATCTCCAACGTAATCAAGCTGTGATCTATGTTGCCATTATTAGTAAATATAATAAATTATTCTTAAATTCATTATTCTATCCAAAATAATTTTACGTATTATTGAGTGCACTCTAGACTTTGTGTGTGATGTTCAGGGTGCGGTGCAGTGAGGGAGAGGGCGTGGTGTCGTACGTGTGGTCTGAGGCCGCTGGAGACTTGCCTGATCAGGTGGGCTGGCTGTCTGCCTCACAACGCACGCTGCAGCAGGGAGGCGGTCAGTTCAAGCCCACAGCTTGCCTGTTTCCTTTAATGTTCTTAGTTCCTATTTATTTCTGTTATTTATTCCCTAACAAATAGTCGATGAAAAGTATTTCAGATATGAAATGAGTTCAAGTCCACAGCTTGTCTGTTTCCTTTTATGTTGTTAGTTCCTTTTTATTTCCGTTATTTATTTCATAACAAATAATCTGATGAAGAATATTTCAGCTATGAAATGATTTATAATGTAGCTTACATGTTATGCTGATTTATGGTGTAATAAAACCAAAAAGTGGAAGCTGAAAGAAAGATACATGCGTTGACAACAACACTTTACGTAAAAACTTCCTCGCCCTTCTTAGATGTGCGATCAAGAATGCCCCGTCAAGTGTTTTTTTCTGTTAAAATATAATTCCTTTTTATTGGACCAAGTCCCGGAATGCATCAGAAGTTAGTACCGCTTGATGCCTGTGTCGTAACATCTGCATTTGTCTCTGACTTCTTTAGGCAATAATTGTCACTGATAGAGAGATGAATGCAATCTTGTATTTCCTTTGTGGCGACGCGAATTATGCTATACAAATACGTTATCGAATATCAGTGCGTGATCAGCTGCCATTGTTGCTAGTGTGCAACTGTAGTGTTATGCACTCTCGAAAACCGCGAGGTTTACAAAAGCTTGCAAAAATGCCAGCTTATATTATAATTCATAATATATTTTATTACATACGTATAGATAATTACATTATTTTTTCTACCTAAATAACCTATGTATTATATATTCCTTAATATTTGCGCAGGTCTGGCCTACAAGGCGTTGGGCTACACGCAACGCACCCAGAAAATTTGCTCAAACCTGAACACCGCCCTGGAGCAGCTGCGTGTAGACCTGCAGCACATGCNGCAGCACATGCGACACGCAGGTACAGGCACCTGCAGCACATGCAACACGCAGGTACAGGCGGGATTCACTTCACTGACATCAATATTAAGATCACTTGCTTGCTTAGACCGCAAATTCACATAAGTTTTAAAAACAACGAAAACAGCAACATAATCATAATTTCTTTGGAAGAGAAAATGTTTCGAAGTCCTGCTCCATCGTCAGTTAAAATCTTAGAGCACAAGTACAATAAATTTAACATGAAATTCAGATTGAAGGTATGAAGACATAGATCTACACTTCGCCATGCTGAGTCGCACGACTCGAGAATTTCTGCAATTATGCCTCAGATATTTATAATCGTCTTCTGTATTTCTATTCAGATCATAGAAAATTATTTATTTCAAAAGCAATTGTAAATAATTTTGGGTAAGGGGCTGACTTGTCTATTCCAATCATAGAAAATTATTTATTTCAAAGCAAATTATTTACAATTGTAAGTAAGAGGCTGACTTGTCATTCTTAAAGTCATTGTTTTGATGTTATTCTTGTGGGTTAAGTAAGAAGTGGTCAGTAATAACGTGGTAACACCACCATGACGCAGGTGGTGACGGCCACGCCGAGAGCCTGGAGGACTACAAGGCTCTGCTGGCGCTGCTGCAGCAGGAGTCTGGCCACGTCTTCCTGGGGTGTGTCATGTGCTCTAGCTCCATGAGCCTCAATAAAGTATTGGTGTTTCTGCTCGGGAATAATTCTCAGTCCTATTTGCTATTCTGACATTCTTGAGTATGGTGTCGTTTCTCGTGCACAGCAAAGCTCCTACTTGATTTAAATAGAATCTCGGCAATAGAGATTTTATTTTCTGTTTTACTTAAATAACTTGATCGAAATATTTGAATATTTTTTCAATGTATTCTGATGCAAAGAGCTTCTTAAACTTTCAATAAGTCCAATTAATCGTGCACGTCTCACAGTGAAGCTCAATTTGTATCTGCAGTTTGATTCGTGACATCGAGAACGAGGCTCTAAAGAGTGAGCCTGAGACGCGACCAGCTGAAGACGAGGATATGCTGCAGGAGAGCGAGGGAGGCGGGCGTGGGGTGTCCCTGAGCAGCCACGAGGTTACGTGCGTGTCACTCGCACGCCTCATGCACGCTTTCAGCAACAACTGCACCAACCTGCAGCTCTGTGCTATTGCTACGGCGCTCACCAACCCCGACACTGTCAGGGTCAGTTTTGCCACGTAAACAATAACAAACTTATCGTCATATACTGCGCTAAGAGCCAAGCTAGTCAGCTATCCGCCTAGTTTTGAGTGTAAACTAGCCGTTTATCTTGCAGCGAATCGGTCTGGGTCTGAGCGTGAGCTGCAGTGACGAGAATGTGTGGGACACAACACGTGCGGCGCTGGCGGCTGCCAACACGTCCCTGCTCGAGCGCTTCCTGGCGAGCCTCCTCCTGCAGCTGCAGGACTGCCTCAGGACGCGCCTCACCGCCCCCCTCACCACCGACAGCGTGGCTGCTGCTCTTGCCAACATGTCGGTACGTAACTAACTGTAGTGTAAGCTCTTCTATCCAATTTTAACTATTCTTTGAATTTTAAATTTAGATGTTTGAAAATTATCGTGTTTAGAATTATCTTGATTTATACATCTTGATTTATACATCTTGTATATTATGGTTGCACGATTTAACCCTGAATCTGCCTATGCAATACATAACCATAAACTATGACCTGGCAACTATAACCTGATCAGTTTGAAGGGTATCGTTTTCGAAAAGCAAGAAACTTGTTAAGACATTTGTTAGTGTTAATGTTTAGCCAGTAATGTGCATAAACATTTCATAATTGTACATGTTTTGTGCCGAAAATTCCAAGACTACAATGGGAATTCTATTTATTCTGCCATTTTCGAACCGTCCAGGAATTTATTTATATCTATTTATGTATACATATATTTTTCATATTTATTTGAATGTATTACGTAATTTATTTCGAAGCTACCTAACTAAGCGTGACGTCGCGTGCAGTTGTGCGAGAGCGTCGAGGTGAGCGAGGACGGCGCTGAAGGCAAGGTTGTCTCCAGCCTGCGCGTGCCCTGCCAGCCCAGTCCTGCCCTGCTGCACGGCCTGCATGGCCTGTGTGCCCGCCTCAACGCTGCCGTCCTGCACACGCTCAGCAGGTCAGCAGCCATGGCATGCACACACTCAGCAGGTCAGCAGCCATGGCCTGCACACGCTCAGCAGGTCAGCAGCCATGGCCTGCACACACTCAGCAGGTCAGTAGCCATGGCCTGCACACGCTCAGCAGGGCAGTAGCCATCACACCCCCATCATCTCGCTTGTGCAGGCCGTAGCAGGCTACACTATCAAGCTTTCCGTTATTTTTCTTACGCTGCCCGCGCGAAACTTCGAGAATTATTGTCGCATTTCAGTCAGTAGACTGTTTTAATTATAGTTTAAACAGAGAAATTCTATTAGTTATCATATAATATTTTTGTATGAGCTTGCGAACTGCCTTCAATCTCACACGTATCAAGTATATCTAAATTAGTCGGCTTTTTGAGATATTCTCCAGCGAAACTAAATATGTTATTCATGATTTGCATCAAAATTAGTGGGATATTCTTGTTGTTAATCTGCCATAATGTGAGTCTATCATCGAATAACAGAACATAATTGTACTTCAGGGAGAATTAATGTGTGGGCTCTGACAAACTTGTTCGCCAGTGATTGATACACGTGCGTGTGGGAAATGTAGGTATACATATGAACTTTTTCTTCATACGATATCACCACCACCATCAATACAATCCTCAGTGACAATCCCCAAAGTTAACGACTAAGGATTGACTCGCGTTGTGAGCAGCAATTTCAGCCGTAGTGTGGCCGGAAGCGTGTGCCGCTGTGTGGTGGCGGCGTACAAGGATGCAGTGGCCGCCGTCACGGCTGCTGAGAGCCAGCAGCTCGCGCTGCACCTCATCTTTGATCTGAAGTTTGTGGTGGCTGCGCTCCTGCCTGCTGATGCTCAGTTCGAGGTGAACCGAATTAGCAGTGGTAAAGCCTGACTTGAGAAGAGCGCGTATGTGCTCTCTGCTCAAAATAATGTTGAAGCTTCTATGCTCACTTCCTTCGAATTTAATATTGCAAAACTTTTTAATAGATGATAATAGATGCTCATTTGATTGTAGTTGGCAAAACACAGTTTTAAAATCGATAATTTCGAATTATTACAATGTGCCCCATCATTGTTATTGAATAGAGTACATGATAAAAATTGAATATTTCCTATCTTTGGTAATGAAAAACTCGCGTGTTCTTCCGCTTGCACTCGCCGTGCCGTGCCTGCAAGTTAATCTCGTGCCCATGCAGAGCCTCGGCGCGGAGGTCCAGGAGCTGCAGCAGCAGCTCGAGGGCTGCGTCGACCCCTTCGACATGAGCGTCTACGAGAGCCACCTCAGCGCCCGCGTCAGGGCCTCCGCCAACCGATGTCAGGTGAAAAGAAAAGAAAATTAGTTTGACAGATAAAATGAAAATGTAGTACCTATTACTTTAACCATTGACGCTTTTAAATTTACCGCTCTTGTAGCTTCATGAAAAATGTGTAACATTACCTATGGAGTTTTGATTGAGATTGATTTTTAGCGATCCTTCAAATTCAAGTCATTTTTACTTTTCAATTTATCATTGGTAATATGATTGTTATTTTTACGTTTAATTCATTGATCCACTAGGTGATCCTGGGCGCTGTGATGGTGCGCGACCGCCACCACCCGCTAGTGAACTTTACAAGCAGCAGCGCTGCCATCCTGCCAGTCGTGCCCGTGGTCGAGATTCCGCGCTTCAGTAACGTGCCGCTGCCTAAGACGTCATCGACCACCGACGCAGGCTCCCTCATCATGGAGTCAACCTCAAGCGCCGCCTCCTCGCACCTAACTCCCCAGCACAGTAAAAAGGTCAGAGGATTGTTCGCTCCGTTGATGTTCCTGCGAAGGGTAGGGCGTAACTACTACTTAGTAGTAAGGGTAGGGGCGTAACTACTACTACGTAGCGAAACTACTTCCTAGGATATTATCAATGCTAATCTATTGCGAGAGATATCTATTAGTGAGAAGCTATCTGTTTGAATATCTTCAGCCGAAAATTTAGTCCGGCTCTGTAATTATATTCTTTTGATACGTTTAACAATTTCATGAAGCGTGTTCTTCCACGACGCGCTCGTAGAGAATTGAGTTACTGCAAAGCAGTTTTAAATTTACGAAGAGTATTCTCAGAACTTTTTGGATTTGCAAATTTGACGAACGCGTGTAACGGACTCGTCTTGAATTCTAACGAACAACAACCTAACTAATATTCTGACCCTATCAGTAGTGGCTGAGCTGAAACTAGCCCTGTCAGTCAACGTTAGCATTGAATTTATTATTGTTATAAATTTGACTTAGCGAGTCTAAGTTGTGACTTAATCATAAATATGACTTAGCGAGTCTAAGTTGTGACTTAATTAAGAAAACTGGAGAACTCAAACCGAAAAATGTTCCGTCCCAGTTCCTTCTATAATAATTTGACCTGAAACAATACTAAAGACGCAATCATCTTAAGTTTCGATTTAACGTTCATTTTTTCAGGAAAAAAAAATTACACTTTTATTTAATTAAACTATTAGAAATCTCAATAAAGACGTATTCATGGTGGGTATTATCACATAACATAACATAACATAGTGATCTCGGCGCTGAAGAGTAGGCCTGATTCCGTCTGTCGCCGATTCTTGAACTTTTCGTGCCTTGTTCATAGAAGATCTAAAATCGTCTCATTTGACCGGATCTTTTCAAGACTGACGATAGTTTGAAGTAGCTACTAGATCGATGTTTGGTTCCTAAATAATTGAAGAAGAACTTCAACATTTACTATTTATTTTAACATTATTTGGGGCACAGCTAAATGTTACCTATATTTTAAAGACTTGAAGGAAAATTTTTAAATTAATCTTCAAGAGGACGACCCTACTGTTTTCCACGTTAACTACGTCAGTTTAAATTTTTATGAGTGCAAAGACATTTCTTCCCCGGGTGAAATGTTTTTATTTCTCATCTGAGTGGAAGTCGTTCATTGGTCGAACTTGATACTCGCTTTTTTTAAACCAGATAAATATAAATTAAGTTCGATCTGTGCTTCCTTTTCTATGAAGCATCCTGAGTGTGTCTACTGTCTAGATTTCAGAATAACTATATTGGGAACAATTTCGAAGAATTATGTGTGAAAAACTGACTTTATTTGCTTGATTTATATGAATTATCGCTATAATAAGATGGGTTGGCGCTAGATATTTCGAGCAGTTGTCACCATCATCTACAGATTCGGAGTTTGCTTCCTAAATTGATGAACCATACCTGAGGGTGATCACATTTGTTTAGCTTGCATCTCCTGCAGTCGAGAGTTCTAATTCCTTAACCCCGTTGACCGATATCATAAATGTTATCTGTATATTTGCCTAGTTCTAATTGAATTAGCGTCATGTAGTAGTTTTCCTGTACATAATTGGAAATGAATTTGTGTCCTTGTTAATTATTGGTTTGCTCTCGTCTGTACAGGAGACGCCCCCACAGGCGGCCACGCTACCATCGAGCGCTGCAGGCTCGTCAGGAGCCATCACGCGTCCCAGCGCGTCTTCAATTTTCTCGGCTATGAGCTCGTCTTGGTTCGGGTCGACCTCCTTCAAATAAATATACACGCGTTGTAGGTCTGCTGCGAACATTAATGCTTGGGTCATTTCTCTGCAATTTAGTGTTGTCTTATATTTATTATCCTGTTGTCATACTGATATCCATTTTATGTGTTAATAAATTTGTTGAATATTTCTGCATTTTCATTTCAATGGTGATCTATAGTTGATCGTTTTTTATCTTTGAGTCATTATCAACTGTATTGTATTGTACGCTATGATTGAGTTCATCCGGATAACATTTGTTTGCAATTCCCACTATCAAAGTAGTGTAGGGCAGCTGGCTTTAAAAGATCAACTTGCTGCATTACCTGGCGACATAGGGTTATAACCGGCCTACCGAACTCCGCCTGTACAGAGCTACAGTTCGATGTATGATAGACTACGTATGCATTATATACGTATGCATACGCCAGCTAACCAAACCTTCCCCTTCTAAACTACCTCCGTAACGCAATAAGGATGTGCACCGGAGCCTTCAGGACGTCACCTGTCATCAGCATGTGTGCAGAGAATAGTGAACAGCCAATTGACCTACTCGATACCTAGCCTACACATCAATTAACACCTTCAACATGCGCGGTGTCGAGGCTGATGACCAAACAAGCTCGTTCGCGTGCAAGATGCGGTCCTCACCTTTGAACCTAACTGGCAACAGCTGAGATCCAACAGATAATTGGGGCACCTGCTAATTTCGAAGTGACGAATTCTCGTTAACACTTTCTGCCTGGTCATAAACTACAAAATAAATCGTATCTGACAGCGCTGAAAACCCTCTTTTTCAAATGACGTACCCATTTAAAACCCTTATTTAAATGACGTACCGTACCCGCAGAATTGACGTATATCTTACAGATCACGGCAAATCGGGCGGTGCCGTGTTCCGTGCCAAAGCAGCCTTGTGAAGACTAATCTCTAACTCGGTTATTTTCAGTTGCTGAGCTCATGGGAGTGCTAGAATTCGGTAGACCAAGCTTACAGCCCTTGAATCAGCGTGATGGTCTAGAAATCATATTGCTAAAAATACGCCGTATGGAAGGAGCCCTCTGTTGGCTAAGCAGTGGCCGCATACTACTCTTCCATTGGTACCTAGTAGAACGCCGCCTCGCGTCTTGTTGCAATGACTGTCTACCTAGTCCAACTGACAGTTGACGACGATGACGACCGAAGAAACGGCTTCACATTTTTTAAATCTCCACTGAGCCCAGACGAACTTTTATGTGATCTTATACGAAAATCCCCCAAGTCAACTTCAGGATTTAACTATAACTGCGTTATCCACAATCCAACGCCAGGTTAGGTTATTACCTTACGATTTCAAGTTATACAGTCGTACTCCCGACAGGGAAAAGGGAGAAGTTAAGGCTATCAGAATTTTATTTTTCTATCATTATGAGTGTAAACTTTAAATATTTGATTGGAAGCGTAGAGGCAAGTTTGCTGGTACAGTGAAATATAAAACGGATTGCGTCGGATGACTAGGATGTGAATGAAGAGATCAGATAACATAACATAGTGATGTCGGCGCGGAAGTGTAGGCCTGATGTGGCCTGTCGCCGATTCTTTTCCTTTTCGTGCCTTGTTCATAGATCTAAACTCGTGTCATATGACCGGATCTTTTCATGACTGGCGATAGTTTGAAGTAGCTACTAGACTTCCACCGGGTTCGATATGGTGCTAGGCATTTCAAGTCTGAACATATATTTTTCCATAGCTTTATCTAGTCTGTTCTTGAACGCGTTCATATGTCTAAAACGATACTAGTACCTACGTCTAGTAGAACGTTAGTCCGTGACCGTTCATGACAAGAAAAGCCGTTTTCAGGCGGCCACCTGAAAGGCTGAAAACTACCTCATTTGTCTCGTAGCTTCGGGTGCGACCGGCCACTTTTCCGGTCGCAAACGTTAGCATTAAGTTTAACTGAATATATGACTATATTTAACTGATTCAGTATGCATATATAGTCTTTGGCAGTTGTTTCTTGGATTCAGAGGTTAGTCAGAAGCAGCACTCTACACCTTGATCATGTGCTTGGGTGACATTCATTCAGTCTCGCTTAATTTCCAGCAGCGACCTGTTCACGTATTGAGAAACTTTTACCTTCATCCTGGTTCCAACGTTGCCACGGAAATTCAATCGTGCATTTTCTGAGCTGCTACGATCTAGCGTCAGCGGTTTTCTACCTGACGTCTGTCGCCTTGCCTGACGTCTGTCGCCTTGCCTGACGTCTGTCGCCTTGCCTGACGTCTGTCGCCTTGCCTGACGTCTGTCGCCTTGCCTGACGTCTGTCGCCTTGCCTGACGTCTGTCGCCTTGCCTGACGTCTGTCGCCTTGCCTGACGTCTGTCCCGCTGTCTCTTATACACATCTAGATGTGTATAAGAGACAGGTCTTACATCTGTCGCCTTGCCTGACGTATGTCGCCTTGCCTGACGTATGTCGCCTTGCCTGACGTCTGTCACCTTGCCTGCCGTCTGCCGCCGTGCCTTACGTCTGTCGCCCTGCCTGACGTCTGTCGCCTTGCCTGACGTCTGTCGCCTTGCCTGACGTCTGTCGCCTTGTCTTACACCTGTCGCCTTGCCTGACGTCTGTCGCCCTGCCTGACGTCTGTCGCCCTGCCTGACGCCTGTCGCCCTGCCTGACGTCTGTCGCCCTGCCTGACGTCTGTCGCCTACCGGGACGAGCACGGGACAAACCCGATGATTGGCGTGCGCACTTGGTCAGAGGTGAGCTGTGTGACTTGTCACAGTTGAGAGCCTGTGATCGGGGGCCGGGGGGGTGCGTGCTGCTATCTGATAAATCCAGGAAGTACTTGACATCCTCTATGACTGAAACGATTACTATATAACTATTACTATATAACTATAACCATAAAATTACTATACCTTTTTTATTATTATATGGCTTTAGCTATATAACTAATACTATAACCATTACTTTAAATCCATAATTGCAACGAAAGGTGAAACCTCTGTCGTATTCTCTCAGCTTCCCGCTCGTCGGACTGCACGTGTGCGACACGGACCTCATTCGAGCGGGAGCCATAATCTCCAGTTTTCACAGTTTTCAATATTTATGTGCCAGTTTCTGTTCCTTACTAAATAAATTTGTTATATTGTCGATTATTCGACTTATATGTTTTCTTGGCCCTTCGCGTTTTCATTATCATACTTGAAGTGCCAACGATGTCATCGGGGAGGCTGTTCCACACGTCTGTGATTCGAAGCGAGGAGAAATGTTGTCGCGTGGAGAAGTTGCAGCGCAGTTTTATTAGTTCATAGCCGTGGCCCCTGGTGTTGGTTCTTGTTTCAAATTCTAGTAATCCTTCGGGGACCTTGTATAAACCATGAGTATACTTTTATACTTCAATAAGGTCCCACGCAGACGTCGATAACCGAGGCTTGGAAGCTTCATAATCTCTAATCTTTCTTCATAGAACTTGCCCTTTAAGCCTGGAATTATCCTTGTTGCACGTCTTTGAACATTCTCCATTAAATTTTTGTCCTTTTCAAATCTTGGTCACCACACAACGTTTCCAAACTCTAGATTCGGGCGCACGACAGCAACAAACAACTGCTTCATCGCTTCTGCACCTAGGAACTCGTATGAGCGTTAGAAAATTTCAGCTCCTTGTCGACATAAACTCCGGGATCTTTTTCCACACTAGACTTTTCAATCATTACTTTCTCGTTGCAACCATGTCTTCTCATGCTGTAATCTTGCTGTTCATTATTTTTCCCGAGGTGAAGTACTTTACACTTGTCAGCATTAAACCGCAGCTGTCAAGTATCAGCCCAGTTAACTAAACTGTCAAGATCATCTTGAAAACGCGCTTCGTTCGACGCATCCTTCACTGTATTATGAAATTTGTGTCGTCAGCATACATGGAGCACACGCTGGCAGAGCTGGGCAGCGCTACTTGGAAATGTAGCGGCGCTACCGCTACCGCTACATGCTCTAAATGTAGCGGGCGCTACCGCTACCGCTACACTCACTATATTGTAACGGGCGCTACCGCTATCGCTACAGTAAAATGTAGCGCGCTACATTAGCCGCTACAATGGCCAAAATTATTGGAAATCTCTAAATATTTATTGTTCTGCTATTGGGATTTACTCATTAACATTTAATAATAATAGAACATTTTTAAAACATATCAATGCAACTTTATTGCAATTAACCTAACCGAACTAGTATGGGTTACCCCAGGGTTAGATACAGTAAATAGAAGTTACAGTTATTTTTATTTTTACCCTCCCTACATGGATGTGAACTTTAATCTACCAATCTAAGAAAGTATCCACATATACATAAAAAATCAGTCCTTTTTTTGTATATATATGTAGATTATTTTTGAGATTGGTAGATTAAAGTAGACATCCATGTAGGGAAGGTGAAACATAAAAATAACTGTGTAAAAATAACTAAGCAAACTGAAAGATGAAAAAATACCTGAAAGTGGTACGGTAACAACTTAACAAGTAACAACTAACATGTTGACACTAGTAACAGGCTGAGGTTGACAACATTACACCGAAATCTTTCGTACAGTTTTATATAAATGTAGCGGTAGCGCTGTAGCGGCAAAACCTCGTATCGCTACTTAAATATGTAGCGGGCGCTATCGCTACATTGCCTTAAATGTAGAGCCGCTACCGCTACCGCTACATGTAGCGCGCTACTGCCCACCTCTGCACGCTGGACACTGCTTCTGGCAGATCGTTTATAAAAGCAACGAACAAAATAAGGACAAGAACACTTCCTTGTGACACGCCACTGCGCACTGAATCCACTGACCACTGATGCCCAGTTTGACACGGTTCCGTTAACACTAGAATAGATTAGAAGTGTCGGCATTGAAGAAAATTGGCCATGTCAATACTGACACGTTGTCGTCTACCTACTAGAAAATGTTATGTTAAATGTTATGTTCTAAATGTTAAATGTGAGATAATGTTAAACGGACTTCTCCAAACAATGAGGTAATGACTTTGCATGCTTAATTTGCAAAATTTGGTAAAATGCTTTATGGTTTCGTGTTCATTGCATCAATGCCTTGATAGGCAATGTCGAGCGTAAACATGTCTACAGCCGATACCTTGCACAAACTCTATTCGTCTTAAATTGGTATTTGCA